AGGTGACCGCCAGCCCCAGCAAAGGAGACACATAAAGGTGCTTCTGGGGCAACACGCAGCGGTGGAAAGCAATCTGTCCCCCCACAAAGGATGGGCCGCCAGACCCTGGGGCTGAAAGGCCTTCTCTCAGGAAGGCCTCTCTGTGCAAAAGGTTCAAGCTCCTGGAGATGAAGAGATTGGGCAGCAAGGTTTTGCAATCTGCTCCTGAAGACAAGTGGGGGCGGGGGCGGGACCTTGGCCTTTGACAAATCTACGCAACAGGACGTGAGTTTCAAAGATGCCCCGCTGTGAGGTGTTTAGAGCAGATCCAATAAAAAGGGGGTTCATTCATTTGCAAAGAGAAAAACCTGAGGGGAACCCACAGATGAAAGGAGGCTTGGCTGACGGTCACCGCACAAGTGTGGACCTTAACCGGAACTTCAAACACATGGAAAAAATTTAATGAAATAAAAATACTTCTAAGACAACTGCAATTGTGAACACCTTCAGGGTATCTGATGACACTAAGGGACTCCAGCTAATGTCTCAGGTGCCACCCTGGTGTCCTGTTTGGGTGGGGTTCTTGTTTTTTTAATAAGAGACACAATATCTAGGGGGAAGGGAATGGCAATGTACACACATTCTTTAGGAACATGGGCCAGTACGTAAATATCAAAAACCAAAACCCGATAAAAGAGTTAAAAGTGGCTGCGGGGGAGGGGGAGGGGAGCACAAGAGGGCAGGAAACAGCTGCAGTCTGTTTTCTAGCTGTACTTTTCTAAATTTGTGTATTATGTGAATAAAATCAAAAGTAATTAAGATAGAGGAAAAACTGGATGATGAAGTTAAATGCGATGTGGTCTTAATGGCAGAAATGTGGCTCCAGCACCCAAGGGAGCCGCTGCCGCCCGAGCCCCACTCCCCCTTCCCTGCACCCCCACACCTGGGGCCGGTCCCATCCGGGGCGTCTGGGGGCGAGGGCAGGCTCACTCGGGAGAGGCCCCCCCTCTACCGGCAGCTGCACCCGCCAGGCCCCCCACCTGGCCTCCC